TGTTTATAGTTTATAGCCCAGATTTGTGGAAAAATGGGTCGACTTTAAGTAGAAAAAAAATTGTGAGTTCAGCTTCTTTTATTATAAGGGTTTAAAATTACATCACCCATCTATTTGACTGGAAAGGAGACAGTTACAGCTCTCATACGACCCCCACCTTTTGAATGTAGCTTATGAAATATGAAAGTTATGAAGAATATGACGAAGTGCGTTTTGGAACCACCGGTGGTCTCAAGGAGTTGAAGAGTTAAATATGTTTCCTGTTTCTTTCTGACACAGAAAAATGAACAACTTGTACTTAATGGCTGTTTGGATTAGAAATGAATTAAATAATTAATTCATGAAAAATGGCTGCAAACTGAAAATATTATTGAAAATGAAAAAACTGATGACAGTGATCCCTTTTAATTAATCTCAGATTCCACCAGACACTCACAGAAACAAAGGCACTAAACTGTCACTGGGGTGGGACCCTCAAGGGTACATCACAGTACCATTAGTCAGGGAACATAATTGTACCATAATCCATTGAAATGCATGTCATGATTTAGACATGCTGTTTGCACAGTCCTAATTTAGCCACATTAGCCTCAGTTCAGAACTTAAGAAGCAGACACGTTATGGCTGACTACATTACCACACTGACTACATTTGGGGTCAGAGAAACATTCTGCAAACAGTTATTCAGCCAAACTATTCCTTTAAACAGTGACTGGGAAGATGATGGTGTGGTGTACTGACTACAGACAGAATGCCTTGCTATAATAGGTTTTCCTGGTACCCAAAAGAACAGACTTGGCTCACAGTGTAATCTGAGCCTGTGTTCAATCAGCTGAATACAGAATGGAGCACTGCCCTGGCCTTGGGCCATTTCAAACCAGTCTGCCCTTTTCCACAGTATCACCACAGAAAACCACACATGCTGAACTTCCTTATAGAAACAACAGGTACAAACACAGCATGGCTGTTGTTTGATGTATGTTTTGTTTAACAGGAAATATCACACAATCGACTGAAGTACAGCTGATGCAGGCTTATAGGCCAGTGTCGCCCTCTTGTGGGCACTTTTGGGACCTTCCTATAATAAACACAACTTTCAGGTATGCCCAAAAAGACTTCCTGGGTCCAGCATTACAACTTTACTAGTTCACATATTTTGGAAAAGTTGAGTCAGTGTTGTGAGGAAAGCCCACAGTAAATAGGCATGCAGGTGCTTATACAACCAAAAGCTGTAAAATGCCCAGAGGGCCTGACAGGGAGTGGCAGCTTTCACTACTCATAACAAACAACATATCAACAAATTAAGTTGCAGGGCAATTTTAGAGATAAGAGATGCTTACTGTCCCACATTCCTGAGTCTGTGGACTGGGGGTTCCTACATGTTAGAAATTATAGTGTACAGAAGTGAAAACGGTGAATACTAGAATGATGGTGCAGTTTAACTCCTTAGTCGATTATTACACATTTCTATACCTTTAGAACAACGTAGCTAGTTTGCATCATAGCCCATGTCGCTGGTTAATAATAAGCCTTAGGATAGAATAATTAATAATAGAATAATATTAAGGGGTTAATGAAGTTTGCTGGAGCAAGGGAAAGACTAAGGCCCATGTGTCAAAGCCTGCTGACAAGTCAAGCCCAGTCCTATTCGGCCTGTGAAATTATTTTAATTATCTTTTATTATTAGAACGTTTCACCCTGAGATGCACTACAGTCCCCAGCATGCACTGCAACATAGTGTGTGTTCTGACCCCCCCTTCCCCCAAAAACAATCTATGGGCCAGTGGTTACACAGAAAGAAAAGATGCCTGGTGTCTAATTCAAATAAATAGGTAGTTTTTAAAACTACCTAAAACAATTTAATTTATTTAGAATTATTTCTGAATAAATATTCAGTGCCTATTTTGCTGTTAGAGTTTTGGCATATTTTGAATAAGCAATGGCCAGTTTGGGTCATGGAAAAACGTTAAGTAAAAATGAAATAAAAACACAGCTGGCCCACAGATTTGCTAAGATTTTTTTAAAATGGCTCTTTTAGTGGTTGAGTTTGACATCCCTGTACTAAGGTCTGGAAAGGGATAGAGCACTGTTTTCTGAGACACTGACAGAAATACTAAGCCCTGAGAAGATAAAGACCCTGTGACCCACTGGCCACCTGTGAGCTGTTCCAGTGTCCTTGCGGTGACTTTCAACACCAAAAGTAATGAGCTCTGCTTATCAACTGATAATGTTCAGGCATTTGATTTGATATGGTTTGAATCAGCATAACATACGCTTACTGCAGATGTTCCCTTTGGTAAATGTTTTCCCACCCCTCCACCTACCAGACCAGTTCCCATATTTTGTGCCAAAGACACACCAGAAATAGTTCACTTCTGGGCCAGTCAGTGGTTTTGGGCATTTTCGTGTTTGTCTATATTAAGCCTCTTATTTGAAGCATATTATGACTGACATCCTAAACTTTAGCAGCGTTATTCAGTTAAAACTTTTAAGACTTAATATTCAGTAACTAATTTAAATTACAACCCCATTTCCAAAAACGTTGAGACGCTGTGCAAAATCTAAATATCTGAGATATCTAAATAAAATCTGAGAAACTGCATTGTTTTTCTTGAAAAATATATGCCCATTTTAAATGTGATGCCAAAAACATGTTCCAAAAAAGTTGGGACGGGGGCCTGTTTACCACTGTGTTTCATCACCTCTTCTTTTAACAACACTCTGTAAGCGTTTGGGAACTGAGGAGACGAATTGCTGTAGTTCAGAAAGTGAAATGTTTTCCCATTCTTGCTCAACATAGGATTTCAGCTGCTCAACAGTTCAGGGTCTCCTTTGTTGTATTTTTCATTTCATAATGCAGCAAATGTTTTCAGTGGTGACAGGTCTGGACTGCAGGCAGGTCAGTTTAGCACCTGGACTCTTTTAATACAGAGCAATGCTGTTGTAATACATGCAGAATGTGGTTTGACATTGTCTTGCTCAAATAAACAAGGCCTTACCTGAAAAAGACGTGGTCTGGATGGCAGCATATGTTGCCAAAACATGTATATATTGTTCAGCATTAATGGTGCCTTCACAGATGTGCACGTCACCCATGCCATGCACACTAATGCACCCCTATACCATCATGAATACTGGCTTTTGAACTGTGCACTGATAACAAGCTGAGTTCATTTTAAATTCGCTCGAGCCCAGAGAAGGTGGCAGTATTTCAGGATCCTGTTTATATGTGGTTTCTTTTTTGCGTTTTAGAGTTTTAACTTGCATTTGTGGATGCAGTGTTGAACTGTTTTCACAGACAGTGGTTTTGAGAAGTGTTCCTGAGCCCATGCAGTGATTACCACTACAGAATCATGTCTGTTTTTAATGCAGTGCCGCCTGAGGGCCCAAAGATCACGGCCAGCAAATACTGTTTTTTGGCCTTGTCCCTTGCGTACAGAGATTTCTCCAGAATCTTTGAATCTTTTAAATGTTATTATGTACCGTAGATGATGAAAAGCAAAAGTTCTTTGCTATTTTATGTGAGAAACGTTATTCTTGAATTGTTGCACTATTTGATCGTGCAGTCTTTCACAGAGTGGTGAACCCCTCCTCATCTTTACTTCTGAAAGACTCTCTCTGAGATGCTTTTTTATGCCAATCATGTTACAGACCTGTTGCCAATCATCCACAAGGTTTTTTATTAGCATTACACAACTTTACCAGTCTTTTGTCCCAACTTTTTGGGAACGTGTTGTTTGCATCAAATTCTAAATGGGCATATATTTTTCAAAAAACAATAAAATTCAACATTTCAACATTTGATATGTTGTCTTTGTACTGTTTTCAATGAAATGTAGGGTTTTTTTCATTTATATTTTGCACATATTAACTAACATTTTGTATATTAATGTAATAGTTCTAATCATATAATTCTACATTATTATACATCTTGGGTTTGTATTGTATCACACACGCTGACATTGAACCTAACTTCAAGCATTTTGAAAAAGGTGCCCTTGCAGTGTTTTTCTCAAAACAAGAAAATTGCTTTTCTCTTTTGTAAAAGGCCAAAACACTCCTGGACAGGACTTGATGTACTGACAACAGTGATGCCCAGCCCTGCTCCTGCTGATCTGCTGCTCTACGCAGTTTAGCTCTCAACATTAACATCAGGGTCTGCAGGAGTGTTATTTTACAGGAACATTAAAGGCAGATATGCTGGAGCTAAACCTTGCAGAAATAAACCCCCCAAAGATCAAAATGGGGCAGCCCCAAGTTTGTATATTTGAACATGATCAAAGTTCTGCCCCTGACTGTGTTTGTTTAAAGGAACAGTTCAGTGAAAAATCAAACTGATACAATTCTCCCTTTACTTTTCCCCTTAAACCAAACAGCCACAACATGTTTGGTGTCTGAGGTTTATTTTCTTAGTTTTACACTAAAGCTACGAAGCTAATGTAGCTAATGCAGTGGAAGCTTATAGCCACCAATTAGCATCATGCAAACTGCATGTCTACATCATCACACACATGCTTTAAATTGTGCTGGTTTGTTAAAGCTACACTATGCAAGATTTGAGGATGTGGAGACTTATAATGTTAATTTTGTATTTGAATCTTCAGGCCAGACCTGTCTGAGCCTGTGCGTGTGATGTTAATACATAAAGACATAATACATATTTTAGCATGTTTTTTTTCCCCGTGTCTCAGTAATGTAACTTCTTTAAATTTTAACAATAAAAAAAGAAAAATAGTATAAATAATCTCAAATAAACTTGCCTAAACCTTGTCATTTCTGACACTGTATGACACTGATACCTATAAAAATTCACAAAAATCCATACAGAATTGAGGCTTCAAGATGGCTGCCTCTCTACTGTTAGCTTTGTGCCGCATTTTTATCCATTTTTATTGATGCAGATAGTTTTTCATTGAAAAACTAAAGCAGCCAATCATTTTAGATGTTTGACTACATTTGTGGTGAGAGGGAAACTGGGAAATTTGCAAAACTGCACATACCTTTCTAAGGCGTCGGGAGGGGGAGGTCGGGGTGGAGGACGACAGATCCAGGCTCATCACTGAGGTCGCCTCTGAAGGGACAGTGGACCAGGTGTCAGCCATCATCATGTTGTCCTCTGTGCGGATGCTGAGCTGGTCAAAGCTCCTGCAGGTGAAGTAACGAACAGGAAAAGGCATCAGTGCTGCTGGAAGTTGCTCTTTTGGGATGATCTGCGATCAGCAATGAAGAGTTCTAACATTTCCCACAAGTACAAGAGTAAATGGTACAAATCTGTCTTGATTTGTAATGAGTGGCATTCTGAAGTACTTATCTGAAGTACTTAAGTATCTTTAAGTGTTCTTCTGTATATTCCGGGATGATCCCAGGAATCTTGAGTATATTCCAGGATGATCCCAGGAATCTTGAGTATATTCCAGGATGATCCCAGGAATCTACCAATTATGCTGACGAAAAATTGAGGAACCATACACTCTTAAATGTGATAAAGATGGTTCTTCAAGGGCTCTTTAGTAAAGGGATTGTATTTAGAACCGCGAGTTATATATAGAACCATTCCATGCTTAAATGGTTCTCTGCACGGTAAAATCATTCTTCAGATTGATGGAGAATGTGCTTTATATGGTTCTATATAGAACCTTTTCGAAAATGGTTCTATATAGCACCAAAATGTGTTCTTCTATTGTTACAATGTCAAGCCTGTAACAATTTGGTGCTATATTTTTGGGTGTATTGCAGTGGGCAATGCTGCAGAAGGGGGTTCGATTCCCCACCCGGGCAAGTACACCACACTACACCAATAGCAGTCCTTGGACAAGACATCTAAAGCTACGTTCACCTACTTTTATAACACAATGTAATTTTAAGCTGCTACAAACAAACAAAAAACACAGGCTTTAAAAGATTTTAAAATACTTTACTAGAGCAAGGACACGCACTGTCATTGTGTGAAGAACCAAAAGCTACTTGAGCGTTAAGAGTGCCCCCTTGTGGAGAATCTTCAGCCTGCTAAACATGAATGAGTGAATTAAAAACATAGCGTTTCACATCTAAAAAATCCTAGGAAGACTTTAGCAAATATAAAACACAGTGTGGTAAAAATGCATAGAAACTGGTGCGTCCATTAGGCTCTGTTTCTCTCTAAAATATACAACCTCATCATGCAAACTCTCAGTGTTTCTTCCTCATACTCTCACGAAGTTTTTCCCTTTGACTCTTGGTTCCTGTCACTGTTTCCTCCTCATGATCTTTCAATGCTCATGGAGTTTGTCCCTCTGTAACACTTATTTCTGGACAAGGTTCTCTGAAAAACACCAGATATATAGGGCTAGTTTCCCAGACCCAATTTAAGCCTAAGGCTGGATTAATATATATGAGTCATTCTACAGAAACATCCATTTTTGTGTCCCTAGCGTTTACAGATATATTACACTATAATAAAACATGTTAGGGTTACTATATATTGAGCCTCAATTTAGCAATATTGGTTTTTAAATCAAATATCTAGAATTCCAAGCACCACAGAAGTGCTTGTCCCTACAGTCATGTGTAAAAGGTGAGGCCAAAATACATTTTTCTGCAATTTTAACTGCAATAATCTATACATGGCTATGAAACATATTCATTAAATGAAATAAAGAAAACAAATGCCAAATAAATGTTATAAAATATATAATGAAAGTTGTTGTCGATGTGTCACTGGTGTTACCGTGTAACAAAAATTATCTTATTTTGCAATAAAAATCAGACTGATGACATCACTTGACTTATTTTCTAAAGATCTATGAAGAAAAGCACATGGTGAGTCCACTGTGTCTTTCAGTTATCAGAGATTTTCTCATTTAGCTCATGATTTCATATGAAGCTTTTAGCTGAAGTCACTGGTGTGACCTACTTTATTCTGAGGTAGTTGTGAAAAACTAGAATACAGATGGATTAAATTCCATCATTTAGTGGATATTCCATGATTGACAACATGTGGTTTGATGCTCTGTAGCAGCCGTTTTGTAAAATGTATTTTTCATTAAAAATGTCTCTGGTGTTACCTTTCTTATGTGGAACACCAATGAGGACTGGTAACACCAGTGACTCTTATGGAGAGATAGAAAAGTGGATGTTTCTGTATATTAAAAACTATTTCCAGTAGTGAATCACAGTTGGCACTGCAATTTGGTCCACTTAATCCATGTCCAGCCCCAAGAATCCTTTGTGGGCAATCACAGGCATAGGCCATATTAAGCCACGGACCAGTTCTGAATAGCTAACTAGCCCTCAATGCACCTTTCATTGTGATTGGTTCTGAGAAAAACTGAACTGGACTGATAAAGTTGTTACCACTAGGCTCCAGTATCACAAGCTTCACAGAAACTGTTCTCTAAATCAGAGTAGTATTATTTGGACCATATTACCTGAAGACACTGTATCCTGCTATATTTTAGCCTGTGACTGATGTGACCTTTACACTGCGCGAGCCACATTCCGTCTTCCTAGGTGTGTCACAGGCATTTCAGAAACATTTAAGTGTAATAACGAGTCAATAAACCTTGTTTAGAAATTTACCCAAGCAGAACCAAAACACTTCATTGCCTTATTGTATTTCGTACTGCATTGTTATTGTACTGTACTGTTCAGTTCATTCAGTCTGTTCATCACCATCTCCAGGGAGGAGGTGTTAGTACCAGATGTAAACTGGAACTACTACCCACAGGGGGAGCTAAAAGCTCAATTAACAGTCTCCTTAATTCCTTATTTTCACACTGAACTTAGGTCCTGGAGCAGAAAGTTCTTGAAGAATGACTCTACAACACTGAGCTACGCTGGTGGTTGCGCAGGCCGTGGCAAGCCTTTAGACTACAGCAGTCTTCCATGCTGCGTTACCCTTCCAGAAACTTCCAGAACTTTCCAGGAACCTTTAAAAGACTGAAGGAAATCCAACAAGGCCCCAGTTTCATTCTTCTTCTCACTGATTTCTCCGTCACTGAAAATAGATTCCCTTATGAAAACTAACCTCTTTGTACACAACAGTGAACTTACTTGTAAATCTATATAGTGATAGGCAGGATTTAAATGTATTTTACTTGTTGTTTTATTTGAAGTTCACAACACAATTATTAGCACCAATGCAAAACATTACCACAGTGCTACTAAAGACAAAACCTCCCAAAGACTACTATTAAACAAACATACAGTTGATCCTATAAGCCACTAAGACCAATCTAGATTCAAAAACATGTATGTTAGTTGCCACATGAAAGTAAGGTATGAAGTTTAGTGACTCCAACCATGATCTTAGGAACCAATTCACGAGTTCTCTTAATGTATCACACTAAGGGAACATAACGTGCAGCAGCAGATGAGCTATCGTCTCTGACTTTACATCTACAAGGTGGACTGACAAGCTAGGAGTGTCTAATAGAGTGGACAATGAGTGGACACAGTGTTTTAAAACTCCAGCAGAACTGCTGTGTCTGATCCACTCGTTCCAGCACAACACACCACCACCACGTCAGTGTTACTGCAGTGCTGAGAATGATCCACCACCCAAATAGTACCTGCTCTGTGAGGGTCCATGGGGGTCCTGACCACAGAAGAACAGGGTAAAAGGGGGCTAACAAAGTATGCAGAGAAACAGATGGACTACAGTCTGTAACTGTAGAACTACAAAGTGCACCTATATAGTAAGTGGAGCTGATAAAATGGACAATGAGCGTAGAAACAAGGAGGTGGACATAATGTTATGCCTGAATGGTGTATATATAACTGCAAAAATATGTTTAACTGAAAAATGGCATATTTAAGTGTGTTCTCTATAGATGACATGTTAACTTATTTTCTTCTTCTGTATGTCTTGTGTGATTGACAGGGCTAGATGCAGGGATTTTCCCAGAGGAGTCCCTTTCTATTCCGGAATCACAGCTCACGGCAGGTTGGACCAAACCACTTAGAAACTCCATACTTCCCTGATGCCTAAGGTCTTAAAGTGTCATTGGTAAGGTATGAAGATCATCTGCAAATGTTGGCCTGTTATGAGTTACGAGCTGAACAAGCGTTTTTGGCATATTGTTGGTGGCACAGCACAGCTGCCCAAAGGACAAACACTGAACGCAAATAAAGCGTTGAGGGCTTTTCACTGCTGGGAGTGTTACACTTCAAACAAATCCATTCGACTGGTAGAAATGAACACATTTTATTTTTTTCCTTTTTTTATTTTTATTTTATTCATCTGTGCAGTAAAGACACTATACTACTCCATATTTTGTAAAAAAATTGAGTAAACAAAAAAATATCTATATAAAACACAGAGTCACATGCAAATGTTTGGGCACCCCGTTCAAATGACATTTTGTTGATTTTCCAAGTAAAAATAAGTTAACACACCCCTACTAGAACACAGTTCTGCACATTTTAATGTACTTGTTTAATGTACGTTTTTATTTGCTGAATTTAACATATTGGGAAAATAATGAAACATAAAATTGGGCCTGTGCAAAAATTATGAACATTTTATACTGTATGTTTAATTTTTTTCCAATCAACACCGTCAATAAAACATGTTCTTTGACTAGGGGTGTTCAAACTTTTCCAGATGGCGCTACATATAACAATAGTAATAATAATTTGCTTGAATATTTTTGGAATTGTACAATCACACAATGCTACAAAGCTGGGCAGGGTGAAGGTTAGCACGTACTTCCTCTGAGACCCTGGACACAGTGTCATTGGGCAGCTCAAGGGAGGATGGACTGTCCTACCCACCTAGAGACTGCCTGACAACGGATGGCTGTGGTAACAAACTTGCAATCTCCTGACGATGTGGCCAGTGCTTAGCTTGTGGCGCTAATAATTTGATTTATAAAAATATGAAGACCATATAATATAATTTAACGTCAACATGTTCTTTTAAATAGATTGGAATGTTAAATCCATATTGTTTGGTGCCACTAAGGACCTTTGAAATGTATGCAGAATGATTTCTGTATCTGTATCATATCATGTCATATCTTGACGTATTGAACAGATTCCTTTCCTGTCCTGGTTGATACAGAGACTTATTTCATCTTTTCAAACATATGTACATGTATCATATGTAAATATCAGCAATGTCATCAGCAGTTTGACTAAGATATTCAATATAACAGATCAAGTTT